CGCGTAGACTGCATTTAAAAGCGTTTATTCATCTTTCGGCTCAAGATATGAGGCCGGAAGAAACGCAGTTGCAAGTACTCTTTATTTATACGAATATCTATTGATATTTTGTATGTGGGTAGCATACGTATTTTTCCTAATTTATTTTTCCATTTGGTGTATTCTTTCTTGGTCTGATAAGTGTTTACTATAGGCGGAACCCTTACATAGATATGACCTCTCAAAGCCCCTACCAATTTTCATGGCCCAACATCTTCGATGTGTTTCAACCCAAAAGCATGGACGACTTACCAACAGAGTTATTTATTCCTTTAGACTTTGATGTCTTTGTATTAATGCATAATTTTGATGCTAAGTGCATCGCGAGTACTGAGTGTGCTTTGTTCTTTAATTTCCTATGTTTATTTTTTGATTTTTTGAATTGTTGTTGTTTCAGGCAACGATGCCCACAATTCCACGAAAAATGGCACGCCAAAAGGTAGCGATGCACAGAAAATAACTGGATTCTAGCGCGGACCCTTCAAACTTTGGTTGTCCACGGACAGCTCTCACTCTACGTACACACGTACAACGGAAACACACACAACATATTAACAGTAAATACGAATTACTGTTACTTTATGAACATACACGAGAATATAACTTCCGTGTACATAGTCGTTCAATAAAGCTGTGGATATCACTCCACTAAATTTTGTGCTGTAGTAGTGTTTGTAATAACTACTACTGCTACTATCTGCTCTACTTCTCCTATATACTACTACGTACTACTACTTTATAGCAGCAGTACGTTAGGAGATCAAAAACGTTGTGCTTGCAGTGGTTGCATCCATTCATTAGAAAACCTATACCTACCCTTTGCCACCACCCCTCTTCTAGCCCTCACTCGCACCCTTACCTTCTCCTCGTAAGCTTTATTTGTACGGTTTTGGTTTACGGTTACATTATCCGTCGTTAATGCTATTCTTACCGAGATGCCAATCATCTAGCTATATTGCTTTGTCTAGCGCTAGTACAGAAATACAATCGGAATTCAACCTTGGTCTATGCGGATACACTAACTGTTTTTTATGGTATTCCTACCAAAATGTCAGGCATCAAACAATAATATCACGTCAAACAGTAATATCAGAATTCTACTTGATATAAATATGGATACAGTAATAAACGGCAAATGTTATTCCTACGTAAAGCCCAGGTAATTCGAGTGGTTGTCGGCTGAAAAAGAGCTAACTTTTTGCCTACGGATGCATTAACCATCCGTTATGATGTTCGTATCGAAATGCTAGACATAAAGCATTAATATCGGTCAAACGCTTATATCAGAATTCAACTTTAGTCTAAACGTTCAAGTTAATCGTGGTTAATATTCTTACCTAGATACCAAATGATTCGAGTTGATGTCAGCGGACAAAAAGCTAACCTTCTGTTCAATACAATAACCGTTGCTAATGCTAATCGTATCTAAAGATCCAGACAATGGGCTCCCTGCATCCCGCAAATTCGTTCAAAGGCTTTGTTCTGTCCCCTCACTTCTAAAATTATTTTTTAGGTCGTTAAGTTCGAATCGATCGGCAGCTCTGTTCTTTGGCTACACAAAATGAGAAAAGTCTAGACCGCATAGAACTAATAAAATCATTTGATTGCTTTAATCGCAAATTAACAAGGAATGCAAAAAAAAAGAAAATGGCACAGCAGCAAATTCTCCTTATTCAAAACGCTTTCGTTTATAAAATATGGTGTATTCCTGTGCCATCCATGTTTTTAAATTCTTAGACCGCATAGATTATAAGTAACGCAAATAATGGTCACACATTTTTAGCTCAGCAGGTCATTTGTTAGATTCTCTATGCGAAAATGAATACATTTTCGCAGTACCTTATTTTTATTTTCAAAGAATTTTTGAACACCCTGATGAAAATCGCACAATTTGTCTCTCTCTCGAGGGAGATTTTGATTTACGAACTGTAGCTTTTCTGCACCAAACGCAGAAGCGTATGAATGGTTAATAAATCTTTCAAATATGAGAAATTTAGAGTAGGTAGTTAAAATCTAAAATTATTGAATAGTCTTTCTGAATCAGAAACTGGTAAAATAGGTCTTTTAAATTGGCTGGGAGTTTTATATTCTTAATCAATTGAAGTTCCGAATCTAAATGAAGCAAGAAAATTTATATTACGAAGCAGTAAGTTGAAACGAAGTCAAAAGTCGAACGATATCATTCACAACATACCTAAATAATTTATTGCAAATAAAACGATTCAAAAATCTTGCAAACTGTCCCCTCAACTTTGCATATAAAATTTTCAATGTTGTTGTTTGTAGATGGCTTTTTTTACAAGTTTGTGTGTGGTGGAAGCGTTACCAAAATTAGAAATAAAATAAATAAAATGATAAAAAAGAAAAAAAAAACGCAAAAAGAGGCAAGAGTTGCGTCATTCCACGCCTTATATAAGACGGTTGAGTATCAATATATTTCTATATCAGTACATGTGTATAACTATATATTGATAAAATTAGATAGAAGTCATTCTTCAGTGCAAGTTGGGGTGAAGACCTGATAGTAAATCTTTTAAAAGGTATTTTAATCGTTCTTAACGCTTCGCCAGATTACACTTTAAGTCGGATTTGGATAGTTATATATACTTCAGCTTTGAAGTCTTCAAGCGCATTAAAAAAAAATTTAGGATTGAAGCGTCAAATAAATATTATTCACTATAAAGTAGAATGAAAATTTTCAGAGCCTAAATATTCATTTTGACATGACGTAATTACCAGCATTATGTATTGTGGATACAAGTAGAAAAAAATGCATAAAATTAGTGAGAAGAATATTTCAAAATCCTGACAAATGCTGCAGTTTGTAAACTATGGTGATTATAAATTAATGACATAAAATTTTTGTGACTAGATAATTTTAATATCCTAATTTTATGCTTTGAATTCCGTTTGCTTTACTTGATGATGAATGAAGTATATTCAAAACATTATTGCAGTAAAACATAATATTCGAAAATTAGTATTTTCCGAAAAATCTCATTCTAAAACCGAAAGAAAAACAATAAGAAGTTTGTCAGTGAGCGTAACTTTCAGCTATTGAACGAAACTTGTATTATATATAATTAATCACATAAATATTATATAGAAAAGTTATAGGTATATTTAAGGTATATAGGCAAGACACATGTTTTGAAGCACACATTTCCAGACACAAAATCTGACCGTAAGTGAAAGCCGTCGAAAGAAGTTTATGTGCTTGACGAGGTCGAATTTTATCTTATCTTTCTGCATTAACATTTTTTGAAACCTCATCTTCGTGCAAGATACTCAAGATTTCTGCATTCCCAGTAACAAAATATCTACTTATCACTTATCACTCATTTTCAGAGCATTCAATGAGCATTTCTAAAACTTTTTGAGCTCAATTTCCTGTTTTGGTACCTTTTTTTCTTTGGAACTATACTGAAAAGAACTTAACTCGATGGTTCGCAACGATTGTTCTTATATATTCAAGTTACTCTTATTTAAGTTTTTGATCTGTATGTTCTGCTCATGATTTTTTTCTTGCTTTTCATCGCTCAAACAAGTTAACTAAGTTTAAAAAGCAGCGTCGACTTTACATTCGTGTTTTGCTTTGCTTAACAACTTTTGAAAATCACGGCGGCTGAGATTTTTTCTTATAGCATTTCCCCTTGCTATCCTTGAGTGCAGTTTATCCTTGAGTGCAGTTTTTTGTGTTATTTAATATAGAGTATTTTGCTCCAAGATGCAGTTACAAGAACTTCAAAATTCCTTCCTAATGTCGCAAATCTTGCCTGGGAATTTTAGGTAATTCCTGATTTTCGTCTTTTGAACTTGGTTTTAACGAGTGATGATACTGATTACCTCTCGGTTACCGCTGTTTCTTCAACAGTTACCTGCTGTTACCCACTGTGGCAAAACAAATACCTTAAGGTTTCGTTGGCTACGGCATCAAAATTGATATTGTTTCTCTGTATCCCAATTCCCTGTTATTCTTTATTAATTTCGATACCCTAACCATGAATTTCCCCACGACATATTCCAAAATTGGTGATCTTCGGAAACGTAGATGCCCGATATTCCGTGTTCATATTTTATTCCAGTGCAGTGAAGACGCTTGAATGTACTTGGCTCGTCCAGCATTTGATGTAATGTTTGTTCTAGGTTATGCTCATGTTGTATCATGTTATGTCCAAGTTTTACCATTACATGCCAATTTAGTACCATGTTAAGCTAATGTTTGACCATGTTATTCCCATGTTGTGCCCATGCTATGCCCATGTTATGCCCATGTTATGCCCATGTTATGCCAATGTTATGCCCATGTTATGCCCATGTTATACTCATGTTGTACAATGTTATGCCCATGTTGTACGCCCATGTTATGCTCGTGATTTTAAACATCGTGACTGCAGCATGCCCGACCAAGTATATGTGTAGCCATACCGTTTCATGTTTAAATGTGTTTTGTCCTCTGTATGTGAATGAATTATTTTCATGTTGTTATGCTCCTGTCATGTCGTTATGCTCATGCGCAATGTTCCCAAGCTCGCTTGAATGTTCACAGTTTCTAAGCAACATATATGTTGATATTGAATGTTCCTCATGTGAATGATGAACATAGAAAACGTAAGTACTTGATCATTTTTTCATTGTTTTGATGTTTATTTGCCGTTTGTTTTCGACACAAACGGCAGGACTAAAATTCATTGGTAGGCTCAACAATTTCTCTTTTAGATTTCGATAAATTAATTTTCAAATCCTGTTCATTTAATTATTCCGCTCTGAATACATATAAAACATTAATAATGTTTGATACAATTTACTCGTAATTTTGTGGCGAAACTTAGCATTAAAAAATTGTTATAAGTAGCCTTTATAACATTGCTTAAATTGATGTTTCACCAGAGGTAAAAATGTTCAGTGTATAGCGGAAGGCACATTTGTTCAGTGTATGATGTGGTTTATGTTTTTTACAGTGGGCATGGGTCTCTCTGTGTCGTTGAACCCCAATGGTGTTGGCCTTCAAACTGCATTGAAAGCCCCCCTCCTAGCTCGAGAACCTTACCCCTGCAACGCTCTTGGTGGCTTCGTTAACGCCGTCGGTAGCATGCAAGGAAACCCCGGCATGGGTTCAATGTTGAGTTCAGCATTAGCGTCGAATGTTGGAGCTGCGAAAAATACTACAGGTGCTGTCAAAAGCATCAGTGGGGCCGTTAGCAGCGCCGAGGGAACATTAAAAGGTTCTTTCGATAAGCGCGAGTGTGAAACTCTTACCAACCTGGGAGAACCGAGTGATGGCGGTGAAATTCGTAAGACAACGCATCTTTGCTGTGCTGATGCAGTGTCTTCTGTGAACGTAAGTGCCGTGAGTGTTTGTATGGATGGAGGTGTGCAAGCTCTTGGTGTTAGAAACTTAGTTCCTAAAGAACAAACTGGACTCTCACCTAATCAGGTTAAAACCTCTGTATCAAAAGAGAGCTCTGCAGCAGAAATTTCAGGTAACAACGGAAGATCAAGCTTACCGCCTGGCAGTCTGACAACACAACCGAACACTCTAAGACAAAGTGAGACTTCGTTACAGGAAAAAATGTCATCAGAAGCTGCAATTTCTCCTCACAGTGTAATGCCTAATAATGTACGAGCCCCCAGAGATAATTTCCCATCAATAAAAGCCGCTGAAGATGAGAACGGAAAACCGGAAGAATCTCCGATGTCAGAGGCAAGCGATGAATCTCTGGTGCCTATCATCGTCTAGAAGAGACAGCTAAGTTAATCATTTTTTGTTTTCTGTGTATTTATTGTTTTCCATGCCTTATCGATTTTTTTTGCGGGGGTGCTTAACTGTTTACATTTCTCTTTTGATAGCACAATAAATGTTTGCCTACTTAATGATTAATCGAATTTTAATATCTCTAGTTCCCTGATTAATCATTTTCAGACGATTGGCAATTTCATTAAACCATCCTTATATTATTTCACTTAAATTAAAATTTCTTGCCGGTATAAAACAGTTTCACAAGGCGCTATAGAGATCCTAAAGATGAACAAATTAACAAATGGAGGGTCGAAAATGTGAAATTGTAATTGTTCACTCATTCCCTAATTAACAAATTTCTTCATCGTCCCTTCCTTAATTTCCTTCTCTTAATCCAGAGATGTTTGTGTTGGTGTGTGTTTCAGAAATGAATTTTATAATTGAATATTAATCCTAATATTATGAATATTCATCAATAGATGAACGACGTATGAATTCATGCAACTTTGCAGCACATGGACGCTTTGTACGTCTAATGTGCTCTGTGCACATGTATTCAAAATGTGAAATTCACTCACACGATATCTCTTTCTCAATCCATTTCACACATCTACTTACTGTGTTAAACACCTTCGTCTGTATAAAAATAGCAATTTTAGATTGTTGGTTATATGCAAGAATTCTGAAGCGAATGTCAGGATGAATGTTTTACCGAGTATAATAAACTATGTAAAGACTACAACTATCATAGCATTTGGGTAGCTTAAGGTCAAATCATACATGACGGGAATGAATTTCATAGATTAAATTTCATGACAATTGCATAGCTTTTTTTAATTTTCAATTAAACAAAAATTATGGTCACAATGATTGATGTTCTTGACTATGCCGCTTATTTTTTTATCATTTCATAAGATCAACATCTTTCAAAATCGTATTATTTTTCTAAGTCTATGTTTATTTCAATCCAAATACAAATATAAAGTTATGAAAACCTTGAGTTATCACGCAATATTTTTATTATATTTGGTATCCACGCTTTTGATTTATTCGCCATATGATCTTATTTATATTTATTAGTTACAGTACATGGTTCACATCCTCCGTTAAATTGTCGACAAAAAGTAACGACATGAAATAAATTTGCATTTTAATAGAATTTTTCGTCGTTTAACTTTATAGAGACTAAATACTTAATCGTAAACGAATTGGGAAGCTTAGAATTTTCATCATGTAAACGAAAATTTTATTCTCTCTTTTCTACGTTTGCATCAGTTCTATTTAAAATTGTACGAATTATAGAAAAATTTCCGGGTACATTTTATTTTTATTCTTACTTTTGTGAACATTTCAGAAATAAAATCTCGTTCATAGCATCATATATCATTCTTCGACGTGTTCATAGCATTGTTTCCTTTTAATATAACTTGTTAACTTAAAAAAATCGTTAGGTAGGTTGACAAAGCTAGCGACATTATCAAGATTCATCTGACCAAATGTGTAACTCATAACATCTTTGAATATTATAAATGAGCAACATTACGCTTCGTTACTAATATAGACTTTAAGTAATGTAAGACTTTACATAGTAATCGAACGATAGATAAATATACCTTTTAACAAGTTTCTGAAGCTAGCAAGCTGGGTCGTATCAGACAATATTGTACGAGTCCAGGTACAATATTGGATAACTTAAGGTACAATATTGCAGAACTTCGGCACCATATTGTAGCAGTTCCGGTACAATATTGCTGAACTTAGAACTTGAGAACAACATTGTAGAAGTTCTGAGTCAATATAGAATAAAATCCGGTATATTATTGTACCCAATTGTTACAATTTAGTACCAGTTGGAATAATATTGTACACAATTGTTACAATTTAGTACCAGTTGGTATAATATTGTACACAATTGTTACAATTTAGTACCAGTTGGTATAATATTGTACACAATTGTTACAATTTAGTACCAGGGCAGTTGGTAAAATATTGTACACAATTGATGCAATATAATACCAGTTGGTAAAATATTGTACACAATTGATGAAATTTACTACCAGTTGCTTTAATATTGTACACAATTGTTACAATTTAGTACTAGTTTGAGGTAAAGCAAGCGACAAACTTTTGTTTGAGGAAGCTAAGGCTGACCTTGATATTCGCGATGAAAATTTTCAATAAATTCTACTCTGTACTATAACATTGAACGAGATTCTTATTGAACATTCAACGAAAATTAATTATTTCTAAATTTTGTCGGTTTGTAACTGTTCGCGCGTTAATATAATCATGATAACAAAAATTGGAGGATTGTACGAATTATAGGATGATTAAAATGATTATCTCTTGATTCGTCTGTATAATAATGATGACCAAAACTTGTATGATCATTGCATTTGGTTTGCCTATGTAATCGTGTAGCAAATATTGTTGAATTTTAACTCACGTTGGTAATTTTGTAGGATTATTTAACTCTTGATGCGTCTGTATTATGTTTAAAATTCTGTATGATTATAAATCTTGATACGTTTAAATAATCCTATTGCAAATTTTGAAGGATTATTGTTCTTGATTTGGCTTTATAATATGACGGCAGCTTACGTACTAAAAGTAATATTATATAGAGAATTCAAGGTACTCATGTAACCTTTCCTACACGCCTATCATTAAACATAAATATTTTATCAATCAAATTGAATAAGTGATATTACGAATTCTTTAAAAGAATCCACTCCGCACAACATATATTCCCCGCTACTGAATCAAGTTTCAGATAAGTTAATTAAAAAAAACTGTAATAATCATCAAGGCCGCACAACATATTTTCCATTAAGTTTCAGATAGATTAATTGAATAAAACCTGTATTAATCATCAAATATTGTTATGGAAGATGCACGTGTGTCTGCTCAGTCCCTTGTGTGGACGGAATACGTCTTGTAAAATACGAAGCGACTTTTGGACAACTGCACACTCAAAAAAATGAATGGATCACGTCGTTCTAATTTGTGACACATTTTATTACCCACGGCATGAGCAGAAAGTGGACATATACGGGCCAAACTGGGTCGGGATGACTACACAAGGGCCATATGTAAATCACCATTTGGACAATGCCCCTCTTATTTTTCATGAGAGCGTGCCCAACTTGGACATATTGATAATCCTGAGACGATGTCCTTTTGTACACTCAGAGAAATAAGTGGGACGCTGACCTTGTGTGCAACTAATAATTTTATGACCATGGTCTGATGACAGGCATCAGTATAAGGCGAAAAAAGCAGCCTGGTTTAGTTATATTACATAAAAAAATTCCGCTGGAAAAAAACTTCTTAGTGCGAGTTTCTGATATCGTTATCAGAAGGAATGAATGTCTCAAACTGCATTTTTTAAAAATAATTAAGGTCACAGATTATATTGAAACAAAGATTTTGTCATTGATCTTAAGTAAGTTCATCTTATTTACAATAAATATGTATTATATTATATGCCAGTAATTTGAATAATCAAATTTAAATTAAATATGCAGAATATAAAATTCCCATAGAAATTGAATATTCATATAGTCCGCAGTTGTCCAGAAGTCGGATTTCGATAGAGGCCTAATCGCGCGAATTCCACACTCAGAAAAATTAATGAGTCGAATTGTCCAAATAGTGACACACTTGCTGCACTTAGCACTAATAACGCTCTTTTGCCGGTTCAAACTGGGTCAGGATGAACCAAACGAGTACAATAAGTGCATCGCTATTAAGACAAAGTTACCCTCATTGCTCTGAGTGCATCATAAGCCTTGTTACAAGTCTAGTGTCCGTTGAGTGACACCCCCAAAATCTGTTGACATATGTGGATATTTACATCAAAAATAGTTTAACCTCGTCTATAGACTAGCTTCTTTTTTAACATAGTATTTGATACGAGATACTCTAAGCAAAGCCTACATCTAGAGCGTTACCCTCTATCTTTACATCGCAGTCTGGTTAAGTTGGTATCATTAAAGGTATAAAATTTTCCCTCATATACTGTATAATAATTAAAAAAAGAAAAGCACCCAGTTAACTAAGTGATATGTGATACATATTACTTTGTATCTGAGTAATATATGCTACATAATACTTTGTTAACTATATAAAAACTTTGTTAATATATGTTAACATATTACTTTCACAGATTAAAATGTGTTACCAACTTTACTAACACATGGGCGTGCGTACTGCTATATTTATTACCACTTCTATTAGTATAGCATCACCTTTTCATGCCCATATATGGTTTCTGGGCACAAAATACCCAATTATAAAATATGCCCAATTACGAAACTTTTTTCCGGTGTTTTTCTTTGGTGAGCTTCACTTTGTATAAAAAATTTAGCCGTTTTATAACCGACGAACCCATTGTTTGGTGGCTATATATTGAGTTGGAGTTGCTGAGTCATGAATCATTATGCAATTAGACGTAAGCATGCGTCGTTTTCGTGTTTTCTAGTTGTTCCTAAGTGAGTTCTTCTACTCGTTAAACTTTTAGATGTGGCAGCCATGAAAGTCAACAACTTGTTGAACTTGCTAAGTTGATGTCTCGCTCAAAGTGACGTCTCCATTTATCAGCTATATTTATTATGGGATTTATTATTATGATTCAAAAGCTTGCTATGTGAGACTTGCATTCTTCAATCGATCAACTTTGTGAAATCAGATTGTCGATCTCAACGATCGGTGTGAAATCTGAATGAATGTATTCACATCGATATTTTTTGTTATATAAACCTACTTGAAAAGATTATCCAAACGATATTTAATATAATTACATATGTAACAATGATTTCCGCTTAACCAATTATGGGGCTCGTCGATCGAGGCCTCAATGTAAGTATGATTAATTATTTAAGTATATTTATTAATTATTGTGTTCAATAGCACCTGCTAAACTTGTTCACCTTCAGCTTTTATCACAATAATAGCAATCGTTCAATTCACATAAGATGTTAAGAGTTAAAACATAACTCTGGCGAGACGAGACGCTGCCACGCATTTATTTCTGTTAATGAAAAAGGTATGGTTGCAATGCGGTAATTATTTGTAATTAAAACTGAAACTTGACGATTTTCATTATGATCCTTATTCCATAGTCGTGAACGGGTATTTTTCGAGAATTTAAGGCCGGAAGAGAAACGTTTGAAGAAAAGCCTTACGATGAGTACAAATGACAAGCAAAATGAATTGTCTGTTCTTGACGATATGCTAACTTCGAGAACTGACTTAATTCTATTCTTTCTGTTTACTTGTCATGTTTTACAAGTGCAGTTACTTGGGGAAATAATTTATTCACGCATAGAGACTGGCTTGATTGCCAAGTATTAACTTAAAAAAAAAACTTGCAGGAGTCCAATATTTTGTTATAGGAAGGGAGGTCTTAATTATTAGGGGATCTTCTTCTAGTACTTCAGACATCCTTCCCTTTGTTTACCTAATTATTTAATTAAAATATAAGCCAACAATAAAAGTTTGTTTAGAAGAAATCTTGTCAAACTGCATGTGTTTTAGAACTCCAAGTCACGAAAATCACAAGAATTGACGACAGGCCAAACTTCGCCTATTCTTCGGCGCCGATATATACTTCACTAATAATTCAAGGTTAAAATAACGTAATGTGGTAAACAATTTTCAGAGTAAGCAAGCCAGGTTAAAATGAGAGTTGATATAAACCATATTTATTTAGATAAGTTTAGAATTATAGTACATATTTTTACAGGTAGCACGGAAGCATCAGAATAAGTTAAACCTTAGCATTCAACAAAGTGAGTTGGTCTCGAGCTAAAAAATGTTGATAATTGAAGCAAATACTGTCACTGAAAATGTACCAGTGCACGGTATTCGACGTACATAACTTCTATTTTAAAATAATCAATTCAGATTCAACATCTGAAATCCAAGTCGAGGTAGCCGAGACTTAACGCCTTGCTAATCATGTCGCAATCGAAACTTTTTTCTGAGTCAGATTTTCAAAACACAGGACGGGTGGAGGCCATTCAGTGACAGAACAGCAAAATAAACAATAATACAACACATTCAGCAATATTCAATTTACAAACATGACGCTATTAACACTTCGAATGAGATGGAACAGGCGCCGTTATAAGCTTAGCTAAACAATCCTTTACACATCCAACACTGAACGCTCATTTGCTTTCTATTGCGTCTAAGCAACTGCAAAAACAATAAGCAATATATTAGCAATAACAAATTTACATGCTCGCCCAATACTCTGCATTAATCGAAACCGTAAACACCAGACCTTATCGTACAAGAAAAGCTAACTGCAAATTACTCAGTTCATTTCCCTATTTGAACTATCAGAGAAGCAATTATATTGTGCAGTGGACGCATAACTGTGAAGTATGAAGTTTATGAGCTCACAAACCAATTGACGTGTCGAATGCTCACAAACCAACTTATAAGTCTAGTTCTCGCAAACGGACTATAGTGGCCCCGGTCTCACAAACCAACTGTCGGGCAAGGTCTCACAAACCATCTGCCGGACCACGGTCTCACAAACCACCTGTCGGGCAAGGTCTCATCAACCACCTGTCGGGCCCAGTCCACACACACCAACTGAACTGTCTAAATTAACTGCCCTTTGCTCACAGTCCAACGGACGTGTCGAGCCTGAGGCTCGCAAAGCTGGATTCTATAGCGGCGACGTGGCGCGCGTGAGGCTCATCGTCGCGCTCGAGGAAGGAGCAGTTGTCGCTCGTCAGGTGGGGTACGTCGGACTCGTAAGTGACGTTAGCCTCACAGAAATACACTTGACTGAGCGACGTGGAGGCCTGCATGGCTGAGGTCAGCACGTCGCTGTGTTGAGCAGTCGGGACGAACTTGGGATTAGAGATGGGCAATTCTTGGGCAGAATTTTGGCCACTGTTCGGGATACCTGGGTGGAAATTGTGGCCAGAGCTGGGGAAATTTTGAATGGAATTGTATCCTGAACTTGGGAAGCCTTGAAGGGAGTTGTAGCCTGAAATTGGGAAAGCTTGATAGGAGTTGTAACCTGAGTTTGGGAAAATTTGATTGGAATTGTAACCCGAGTTTGGGAAACCAATATAGTTACTGTGATTTATAGGTCCACAAGATCGTGGGTCATAGAAAGCTGCATTTTTATTCATCACAGACGAAGGTCCAGAAGGAAATCTGTACGCATTGTAATTAGGTCCTCCAAATGACGTGTTGTTGTTAAGAGCAAACGAGGAATTCAAATTACGAGCAAGTAAAGCCGAACTGAAATTTTGATTGCTTGAAGAAAATGCTCTTACATTCTGCGCGTACAGAGGCAGTGAATGTGAATCATAGCCAGCGGAAAATGAGTTCATAGGAGTCGTTGGAGTTAAATAGTTGAACCTATTTTGGTTGAAATTGGACAAGGAGCTCAAGTTAGGCGTGGCGTATGGAATCATAGAATTGTTCAAAGAAGAGGTATGCAAGTTCATAGCTGCGGAAACCGGCAAACGAGAGTCACGTTTGAAACAGTTAGACGTCTGGTGCGGGGCAAACGGATCAAGATCTTGTTGGGTATGGAAAAATGAGTTCGAATGAGCCATGTTAGGAGCTCGAGTCATGGAAGCCGAGGTGTTCATTAGCTGAAGATTATTATAATATTGCAGAGCCTGGGTCGATGGATTTTCAGCTTCAGGTTGAAAAGAATCTAATGGCTGGGTCAAGTCTTGATTACCATTCAGGTATTGGTTGCCGTCGAGTTCTGCGGCGTGTGGGTAAGCTGATTGTTCCCAGAACGGGGTATGGTTCTGAATGGTATTTTTAAAATTAGTGTTCATGTAACTGTCGATAACATCGTTTTGATTGATGAGAAGTGTCGTTGACGTAGCATCACAGTTTTTGAAATTGTACCCTTCGGGAAAGTGCGAGGAAATGTTATTGTTATTCAAATCGATCATTTTGACTTCGTCGGCGAAAGTAACTGAGATTGTTTGTTTCTTCAAATCATTTGGAAGAGTGTAGCTTATTGGAGATTCATGAACAAAATGTGGCCCATACTCGGGAGACACATGAACTGCTCCCCATAGTCTTTGCGCTGCATCGCTTTCTTCAATTACATTTCCATCGAATACTTTTTCTCCTTCGTTTTCTGGATAATGATTTTCAAAAATATCTTGGTCTTGCGAGCAAATGCCATCCATACCATTGCATACGTAGCTCAGACTTGAACCAATATTTTCATTTGATGCAAACGGCTTACCTTCTTCATCATATGTACCACAAAATCTCAAAGCTTCAACTTCATTTTGTGAGCTTGACGTTCCACAAGTAGCTCCTGAAGCCTCTGAATCTGAAGCTGATGTCTTCCTCAAGTTCCTAATTGTTTTTGCTTGCAATAGAAAATTTTCTTCCTTGTTGACATCCACATCGAGACAAAACCTGGGGCCATCAGAGTTTGGGTCTGAACAATTGATATTGAAATTAGTTTTATTTAAATGTGGTGAACTCGAAACTTTCTCTCGCTGCACATTCCTTATCAATTTCATTGAATTCTGAATTTTCTGCGTCATGAAACGTGCACCGCTACCACCACCTACACCAGTGCTGCTCTATCTCATCCGCTTGTGCTGGCGTGCCAAGTAAATATCGTTAGCAAGGTTAGGTCTGTTGTCACCCTCTTCATCGTCGCTGCCGCCACCCGCGCCATTAAAACCTGTCATCAAAAGTTTGCGTTTTCTTTCACCGGTGGTAGAGTCTGTCACCCACTGCACCGACTTCGAGAGGTCGAACAGCCGAATGTTGTTCTTGTTACTGCCACTCCATTGTTCACCTGAGTAGAAATAATTGCGTATTTTATTCAATAATTTCAATCAATGTGTGACTTGTTTAATTAAAGATTAATTTGATCATTTACGTCAATTTAATACTTTCAATTTTACCGCTCAACTGTCCACATGAGTTGAAATAATTGTAGAATATATCTAGTAATTGAAAAAATAGTAATTAAGAAATAAATAATAATTTCGTGCAGGGTGAAGCAAGGAACAAGACCCACCAGTTTCGGGCAGGTTTATCCTGAGGATAAAATAAGACTCACCAGTATTGGGCAGGTTTATCCTGAGGATAAAATAAGGCTCACCAGTTTCGGGCAGGTTTATCCTGAGGATAAAATAAGACTCACCAGTATCGGGCAGGTTTATCCTGAGGATAAGGGACAAGACTCACCAGTTTCGGGCAGGTTTATCCTGAGGATAAGTTCGATGAGATTATCCACCTTCACGAAGGGGCCTCTGAAGCACGACGGTGGAGGCAAGATGGACAGTAAATTGGACACCGTGGGTGGAGGGGGGAAACTTCCACCTGGAATTTAGAAACAAATTTAGTACACTAATAGCTTATTTTTGTTACGTTACTATGGTAACTTAGATATGGATTTCAAACCTGCAGTTTACCGCGAAATTATTTTTTATGGGAAGTTGAGTGGAAGGCATGCAAAACAACCAGTCTAAAAATTGTGTTGCTAAAATTCCAGTAGAAAAACTCAGACCAAAGCACGAGCGTTGCGACTACCCGCAATTTTTAACGTGCTAAGTAAGCTTAGAAGTACACGAAACTGTGGCTAAAATAATTGAGTTGAAAATCACGATCAGCAATGGCCAATAAACCAAGATTGTAGGGTAGCCATTGCTTCAAGAGCCAAACTCAGGCGGTAACCTGTTACAGAGGCTGAATTCAGAGAGTAACCTGTTAAAAGAGACGAATATTCTAAGAAAATAACCTGTTAAACAGACGAATATTCTCAAAGAAAGGGTAACCTGTAATAATAATATAAACTGGAGTAAAATAATAACAAAATAACTAGGCAAGATGCATTACCTGGAATGGGATGTTCACCAGGAACATATTTAATCTTAGGTTTGTATGGAATCATTTGGGAGAAGTCTGGCCTAGCGAAGGCCTTCTCGTTAGGTTCGTGGCTCAGCAGCCCTCGGGCGATGTGAGGGTTGGTGATGGTCACGTGGGTGCTGATGTCGCGATACCCAATGGCCCTAACAACAAAATTGCAAGGGTTTAGGTACGTTATTCATTAATAAATCAAATCATTACCTACCATAAAGTATTCAATAATTGCTACAGGGTGTACCAGAATTAACTGACCCTTTTAATTTGTTAATAAATAAAAAACTAAGAACGTTATGAAGTTGAAACTTGTTTTATTTAAAAGAAGAACATTTTTATGGTAATATTGTATCCTAGTTTTTAAATATAATGTCTTTTAAAGGCCCACCACAATTGTTTTGACAAAATAGGGCTTTTCTCTTCGTTGCTTTCATACCCTTCATTAGTAATTCTGGCGAAAAATTAGTTTTTTTTTCATTAGAAAAAATTATTTTTTTTTTTGAAGGACTGATTCTTGTTTTGAAATGGATCCTGTAATCACGTTGAACTTCTGTTATTGACATCGTCCTGATGTAGGTTTGCAGAATTTTCGTTCTTTCTTCTTTGCTGTAGCGAATCATGATGAAAATTTAAGGCTTGATAATTAAACACAAATTTAGCAAGCTATACAGGATAATGACGTAACTATGATACAATATTACCATAAAAATGTTCTTCTTTTAAATAAAACAAGTTTCAACTTCATAACGTTCTTAGTTTTTTATTTATTAACAAATTAAAAGGGTCAGTTAATTCTGGTACACCCTGTATTTACGTAAAACGTTTGGGACGTTTTGAGATAATATGATACATTGCTTCAATGAAAAATATATTCAAGTAAATGTTTTTAAAATTATTTTCGGGTGAAACGGCTGCTATGACTGAGAAATACATCAAGCATTAGAGCGAAAACAGTTCTAAACAAACAATATCTATTAAATACACTGTATTACAGCATGGGCCAGAGATTCAAGTTACTAAATTAATATTAATGAATGGAAATATACTACTAACTATCAGTAAATTAACTTGTTAATATAAACATTAATATAAGAGCGAGCACCCACTTTAGCTCGTCGTTGGTGCAGGGGTAGAGGTTCATAAACTTGTAGCGGTCAACCTGCTGCGCTGTGTCTTTGCCTTCAAATTCTTTCAGCTGCAAAACAAAAATAATTTTTAGCGCATTTTTTCATGTATGGAAAAAAGGCGCTGTTGTGCTCGTCATGTCCGTCTGTCCGTGACTTCACGGACGGACGAGAAATGCGCTCTCTGTCACTCACTGCAGTGAGTACTGATCTATTTTAATAAATAATAATCTTGATCTATTTTAATAATAATAAAATAATTAATAATAATCAAAAATAATCTTGCAACGCAAAGACATTTGAAGACATTCATTGAGAATACTGCAACAAAAACTCATTTTAGTTTAGTTTTCTTTTCGTGAATATGCGAACACTAACAGTAAAACATTTATAGTAATGCCTGGTACACAAATACATGTCAAAATAATAATATGCGTTTAAAAATTACTTTTTAAAGACATCACTTCTAAAGAATTCAGTGTCTGCGATGTTACATATGTAGAATGAATTTTTAATTTAATTATCAAATATTAAAAAAGTAATTTTAAAATTACATTTAAAAAATCAAATTTTTCAAAATTATTTTTTCTGTCAATTGAATCCTGCATTGTCTCCAACTTTACACAAGTGTGCCAAATGTCAGATCGATTCAAGAGGTAGAAGTGTGTTAAATATCGATTGTAAGATTTGTAGTAGACAAACAACAAGAAGTGAAGTTAAAGAGAAGTGTTAGAACATATCCATAGTAAATTCTAAAACTCAAATACATTAAAATATATTTCCAGTAAATCCAGTAACACAAAAATATTTCTCGACATTTCCGTAGTAGATCAAGAAACTGGGCTTACTACAGAAGTTTCGATACTAACCTTGGGACTTTTAATTACTTAAAGATAAGGTCATGACCAGGTCTATAATATAGTAAATCTTCTTAAATTAAGAAATTTTCAGCTTTTCTACTATCATTCCTCACCATAACCGCCTTGCAAATTATTACCGTTGACTTTGGTTAGGTTAGGTTGCGGAAATGTGGAAATAAAAAATATCGAACTTGACTGGTTTGTCGCTTCTCTACCTTGACGGTGCTGGTGAAAAATGAACATAAATTTCAAATTTATACAATACGCAAGAAACAAACCTTCTGCAAGACGTGCGCACGGCGCTTCTCCACCTTGACGATACTCGCCAGGTCGCCGACGTTGCACTCGAACTCGAGGAACCTGTTCCACAGCCCCACGGTGTCTTCGTTCTTCAGCTGCCCTGACGACAGCACACGCTCGAACAGCACGCGAGTGTTGTTATCCTCTGCAAGTGAAGGAATGTTAGCATCGGCTGAATAATTTAATCAAACGATAAACTGATAATAATAATGATAAAATGATAATATTATTAAAATAATAATAGTATCGTGCCACGTCCTAACAACACACGGTCAAACAGCACGCGCGTGTTGTTATCCTTTGCCAGCGTCAAGTTAATAATTACATCAGAATGATAATGTCAAATGATAGTGTAATCAAAATAATGATATGGTCATGCTCTGAAGACAGTACACTGACACAGTTCTTCAAACGTACTTGAACAATACACGCGTATTGTTTTTCTCTGCCAATGCCGTAGTAGTTTTATCAAAACAATAAAATTATCAAAATTACAATATAGTCGAGTGAATTTGCACGGAACATCATGCCTCTTATTCTGGAGGAGTCAGCAGAGAGATGTGTTAAAAGTGCTACCTAGAACATGACTATAACTCTTACTTCACTAGTCACTAGATTATCAGTAGATAACTATAATTTACTTACAAAAAGTCTCACCATTGAGATGCGACAACAGTTTACCAGTCACTAGATTATTAGCAGATAAATATAATTAATTTATTTACAAAAAGTCTCACCATTGAGATGCGACAGATAGTCCACATAGGACATGATGTAGTCAGGATTATCAGGATGTTTCTTCAGCCCCAACTCGAATATCCTGAACGCGATCTCCTTATTTTTGCTGCAATAATATTCCATAAGAGCGGCTGCGGCGTAAGCATGGAACTGAGTGCGGGAATCTTCACGCGCTTTCTTGAACACTTCGCGTGTAGATTTGATGCCTTCAGCACGGCGAGAGAACTTCATGTATTGGATGTATGCCTGCAATGTAAAGCAGATGATGTCACATGATGAAAAGCTTCATGCAATTTCTATGATCAATTAATCTACGACTCATAACTTGTAACATAAATTGTGACCGAAATAAACCTCAATTCAAATTCAATGAAATGCTCCATCTTTCTCTTATGTTTAATACGTACTCAAGTCTTCATCTTTAACAAGTACTCAAGTAATTATTGAGTCATCCGGATCAAGTACTTAAGTACTTGTATGACTACTTACGTACAAGTCGTACGACTTGTACGACTAAATCAAGTATGACTAATTATTCAAAAATTGGAAACAAAATTTAGAGGAAAAACTGATTTTCAACTTAACAAACTCTCACTATTCTCTCACTATTGGTGAGATGGCATTGGGCTAATATACTTCGAGCGAATTAAAGGCAATGCATACAAGTAAAGATAACGAGGTAATAGAAAAATGTATAAAATAAACATAAGGAGAGTTTACAAACTAATAAGAAGCATCGACAATAAATATGAATAAAGAGTTATACAAGTACTGATAAGAGTAGGGTAACATCAGGCATGCTGATGAATCGCTGGTAGATCTTATGTACTTCCTACTATATAGCCATGTATACTCCTGAGCCCATATGCATACTATTATACGATAATTAAAATTAATATGCGTTTAAAAATTACTTTTTAAAGACAACACTTCTAAAGAATGCAGTGTCTTTGATGTTACACATTTACAAAAAATTTCTAATTTGATTTATAAATATAAAAATAAATTTTCAAAAATTTTTAATGTATAAAATTTTGTAAATTTTCAAAATTATTTATTCTGTCAACTGATTCATGCACCGTCTCTAACTTTATAAAAATGTGTAAAATCTCAGATCGATTGGACAGGTGTGTCAAATATGGAGTATAAGATTTGGAGCAGAGAAAATTATCTTTATGCTTTTTTAAATTGAACTAAATTTTTTTTAATTCTAATATTATTTATTCTGTCAATTGATTCATGCATTGTCTCCAACTTTACCCAAGAGTGCAAAATTTCAGATCGATTGAAGAGGCAGAAGTGTGTTAAAAATCGATTATAAGATTTGTAGCAGACAGACAAACAACAAGAAGTGACGTTAAAGAGGAGTGTTGCATTAATTATAATTAATTATATACTGACAAGCGTAGGGTCAACATCAGGCATATTGATGTATCGCTGGTAGATCTTGTGCACTTCTTGGTAGTGGAGGCGCGACTCCTCGAAGTCTGCGTACGCAAAGTACAGCAGTTGGTTCTTGCGTAGCGGTCCTGAGATAGCGCGCTCGTAGATCTGGCCAGCTTCTTCGCTGAATATCTTGCTCGCGTTCACGTCCTGTACATAGGGATATAATTAATACCTACGTACATTATACACATTACACACAAATAATACACTACATACATACTGCTTTTACACCAAGTAGAGTGCCACACTCACCTCCTTTTTGGAGAGTACCTTGTAAGACTCATAGAGGTAGAGGATTGCACTAACCCTATTTTCCGAGAGCACTTTGCAGGACTCGTAATAGTAGGGGGCTACACTCACCCCTTTCAGAGCACTTTGCAGGGCTCGTAGAGGTAGAGGGCTACACTCACCCCTTTTTCAGAGAGCACTTTGCAGGACTCGTTGAGGTAGAGGGCTGCACTCACCCCCTTCTCGGAGAGCACTTTGCAGGACTCGTAGAGGTAGAGGGCCGCACTCACCCCTTTTTCGGAGAGCACTTTGCAGGACTCGTAGAGGTAGAGGGCCGCCTCGTACCAGATGTCAGGGTGGTGAGAGAGGCACAGCAAGCATTGCTCGTAGGCAAACCTCACACGCTTCGTCACGAGCGTCTGGTCGTCGGTGCGCAGAGGATTGTCCTTTTCCCAGCTGATGTAGCGCTTCCAAACCTCGACCTGAAGTTAAATAAAATTATTCACAAATTTAATTAAAGACAATCGTAATTATTTTGTTATCCTCTTTGAAGTTATCGTTGCAGTCTCGTTAGCCGCAGTACAGTTTAATCATTTGTGATCGCCTACGCTTCTTGACCAGTTCTTGCCTCCGTTTCATCAGCTATCACCTATTTAACTCCTGTAACCAACATAAGTTATCACACCATTTTCAACTACTGTTGTCACATCTGTTTGGTCTCCTCAGGCGGGCCAGAGGGTGGCACACTAAGCAAGTTTCTTTTGAGGCCTCTCCTCTAGTCAGCCATTATTATCCCGTAATCTTTATCTGTAATCACCAGTTTCTCTACTGTTAACTCACTAGTTTAACTCTGTTATCTCACCTATTCAACAACTGTTATCTCACCTATTCAGCTACTGTTATCTCACCTATTCAGCTACTGTTATCTCACCTATTCAGCTACTGTTATCCCACCTATTCAGCTACTGTTATCTCACCTATTCAACTACTGTTATGTCACCTGTTCAACTACCGTTATCTCACCTGTTTCCCTACTGTTATCTCACCTGTTCCCTACTGTTATCTCACCTATTCAACAACTGTTATCTCACCTATTCAACTACTGTTATCTCACCTGTTTCCCTACTGTTATCTCACCTATTCAGCTACTGTTATCTCACCTGTTTTGTCTCCTCAGGCAGGCCAGAGGGCGGTACGCTGGGCAAGTTTCTATTCAGTCCCCTGGTCTCGGTCTCCATTTCTTTGCCCACGCGCTTAGCGTTCATAAAGTCGCGGCCACGCTCTATGTTCATCTGAAATATTTAAAAGTATAAATTAACCGTGTAAATAATGTTAAAGGTATTTTGAAATGACTATCGTATGCCATTTACTGAGATGAAATATCAAAAGGTTTAAATTAACCGAGTAAATAATCGTAAAGGTATGTTGCAATGAAAACGGATGCATTTACCATGTTGAAATTTCAACGTAAATTGAAATTGACTGCAAGACTGAATATTTTTGTGGAACAACATAACATAGACGGAAATGAGTATCCTGATGTACAGATGAAGTAGTAGTTTATGAAGTAAACAGTATAGTACGTAGAAATATGCGGTCTCGTACATTGAATATATTCTAAAACATTATTGTTAAGTAATAATAGATAATATAATAATCTTATCAATTTATTATACGTACCTTCTCAGCGATGATAGGGTTAATGTTGCGCTCGAATTCGAGGTAGTCTTTCCAGAGCGTCTCTATGTTTGACATGGGCGTCACCACGCCGCGCTGGTAAATCTGCACGAATATTAATAAATATTAATTAAGTAATAAATATAAATATACGTCATTATAGTTATTATTAATATTATTGTTACTGTTATCAATCCGGTATCAACTAACTTCGAGAGCACGTTACGCATGAGTTTGATAGCTTGCGAAAAAATAAAAAGGAAGAGAAGGGATAAAAATGTCTAAGTACAAGATTCAAAGGCTGTTAAATGTTGTATGTATGTTAATTAGGCAATTAGTGTAATTAGTTGTTCAGTTATCTAATATCGGAACCACGATGATACCACGTCGGAGTCACCAACCCGCGCTAGTAAATCTGAAGGACCACTGTTTGTTTAGGAAATAAAATCTGTGTGGCTTGTGAACCACTTCGTTGGTGTAAAGTACTTTTAATTAATAACGAGCTTCTTCACGGCAATAACCAGTAGTTTTATTTACAGTTTTGTATTATCTAACATTAGATCAAAGGAAATAATGTGTCTGTGCTTTCCTACAACGTTTGAGTTCTAGTAAAATACACAACTAGGAAGTAATTGAAATAAGTAATTCCATCGATTAGAATTTGTATTTCATTGCGATCATAGACTCATGTGACGTAGTATGTATTATCCCAGCAATGTTCTCAGCGGGAGTTTACTCATGACCCACTTTGTTTCGTGACCCACCTCGTCTCGTGACCCACCTCGTCTCGTGACCCACCTTGTTTCGTGACCCACCTCGTCACGTGACCCACCTCGTCTCGTGACCCACCTCGTCACGTGACCCACCTCGTCTCGTGACCCACCTCGTCTCATGACCCACCTCGTCTCGTGACCCACCTCGTCTCGTGACCCACCTCGTCTCATGACCCACCTCATCTCATGACCCACCTCGTCTCGTGACCCACCTTGTCTCGTGACCCACCTCGTCTCGTGATCCACCTTGTTTCGTGACCCACCTCGTCACGTGACCCACCTCGTGTCATGACCCACCTCGTCTCGTGACCCACCTCGTCTCGTGACCCACTTCGTCTCGTGACCCACCTCGTCTCGTGACCCACCTTCCTAACAGCCATGATCTTCTGGTTCTCCGCGTAGGACCCTACGACCTCTACATTCTTCAGGAGCTGCGCGTAGTCGTTCCAGAGGCTGTAGCTGTTGTAGTCCATGCCGATCTTGTCGATAGCGAACTCGTAGGCCTGCGATAACTTCTCCCTGCACGATAACAACGATAACTGCGATCACGATACTGTGAGATAATTTCTCCCTGCACGATAACAACTACGATCACGATACAGTACGAGACTGCGATACCAACTGCGATCGATAACAACTGCGATCGCGATACTGTGAGATAACCTCTCCCTGCACGATAACAACGATAACTGTGATCACGATATTGGCAAGGATAACATTTTAGAATGGTTAAATTGGTTATTATCACTAAGCTTAGGCGGCATAAGTATACATAGCGGCCTAAGTACACATAGCGGCCTTAGCGCACGTAATGTCTTTCATATATGTAGCGGCCCAAGTGCACGTGACGGCCGATTACCGTCTGTGATTGGTGGGTTCAGCTGGAAAAGCCTTCAGTGATTGGCCACGAGGGTTGCAAACTGAACTATTTTTGCTAGTCCTGCAACATACCTGTAAGTAGGCAGGCTGGACTTTGTCTCCTTGACGTAGGTGATGTAGAGACGCCACAGCTCGATGTTCAAAACCTTCGTTAAACATCTCTGGAACAACTGCAACAAGAACGAACTTTTTATAGATCAATACTAAATTTATTAGAGAACTTTTTACATTTCTGTCGAAATATGTATCGCGAACATTTATAGTTTGTAGTTCTAACACGTTAACATAACCGACGTTTACTTCATTGTCACGAAAATGGAGTGGTTAAAAACTTATTTTCACTTACACTTATAAATCAAGGTCTATTCAATATGTTTTTTCATTATTTTGTAGCGGTGATTACAAATGGAGTATTGCCTTGAGTCATATCAACGTAAAAATACGGCAGTTAGAAGTAAAGAAATCTTATTGACGTCGACGGTGTAAAAAAACGTCGCGCAACAGAGCGAGGGGTCTGTGAAAATACATTCGCGTTGTCTGCTGGGACGAGGCGACAGAATACTAATTAAAAATCACCAGAATTCACAGGTTGCTGTTAAGCACAAAAATTCACAGGTTGCTGTCACGCACAAAAATTCACAGGTTGCTGTCATGTACAAAAATTCACAGGTTGCTGTCACGCACAAAAATTCACAGGTTGCTGTCACGTACAAAAATTCACAGGTTGCTGTCACGCACAAAAATTCACAAGTTGCTGTCACGCACAAAAATTCACAGGTTGCTGTCACGAACAAAAATTCACAGGTTCACTCCAAAAAAGACCGCAAGTCAACAGGATAACAAAGTAAAATCCGAACCCGGAAATGAGACACTGATGCATACTAAGCGAAATAATAATTAGGACTGTACAAATAGCGATGCACTTTTCACCCTTGTGTGAAACATCCTGAGCCAGTTCCATCCGAGAGGGCGTATCAGTACTACGCGTAGAAAGTGCGTCATTATATGGACAATTGCTTCATTTTCTAGCTGCAAAATACTGCACGACATTCAAAGCCCTCAGTAACACAAAGGGATGATGCTGACGCAAAATTCAACAAGTCAAAACGAGAAAAAGCAATAACAAGAGTAGAAGAGAATAAAGCATCGGTCGAATAAACTGTATCTAGCTATTTCCACTCAGAAAAATGAGCGAGACAATCCTAATAGCGGTGTACATTTTGAGCTGGTGAAGGTCATAATGACACAGTTTGCCCAAAATATTATTACCGCCACGTCCGCTCTCTGCTCGTGCTGTGTGTAAGGTATAGTGGGTAACTATTTGGACAATGACCCACAAATGCGTTCGAGTGTACACGCTGCTCTTCATTCCGACCACCGCATTCACCAAAGGCCGTCCGAAACCAGAGAAAGCCTTTCATAAAAATTGCCTCCACTTTGAAGTAAATTTCGCGGGAGAATTGAGGCGTAGTGGAGGCCGAAGCCTGGCGTCTGATCTCAACTTATGAGAATTTCAAGCGTGCTTCACGCGAGCAGACGGTTAACCTGACACGAGTTAGCCATTATGCTGCGCTAGTTAACCTAGCCCGAGTCTCTCTGATGTAGCGTTTAACCTTACTCGAGTTAGCCTTTATGCCGCGCTAGTTAACCTAGCCCGAGTCTCTCTGATATAGCGGTTATTAACCGCTCGCGTCAGGTTAACCGTTAACCTCACAAGCGTTAACCTTCCAGATGCGCATGTCTGTGAGCAGAATATACCGAAGTGATGTGTAATGCGTTCAGTAGTTAACTAAAAATCATTGTTTTTTAATCAACTATAGTATATTTATTTTGCGCAACTTGCTACATATCCCAAACACAGACTCTAGTAAAAATTGAAAAAATAATAAAAAATATTGCTAGTAAGAGCGGCTGATTTATACCAGGAGGGGCAGAGGGCAGGAGGCAGGAGGGGCAGAGGGCAGGAGGGGCAGAGGGGCAGAGGGACAGAGGGCAGGAGGGACAGAGGGCAGGAGGGACAGAGGGCAGGAGGGACAGAGGGCAGGAGGGACAGAGGGCAGGAGGGGAGAGGGCAGGAGGGGCAGAGGGCAGGAGGGGCAGAGGGCAGGAGGGGCAGAGGGCAGGAGGG